AAATCCTTCAGGACAATATTACATCAATGCACTGAACTCACTGTTATCCCTCTAACAGAGCCTCCACATGTTCTCACTGTAATTTCCCCCTTGTGAGAATTTATGCTTGCACTAATTCGAATGTTAGGGGGAAAATCAAACGTATTTTACTCGCACTACTCAAGCTGACTTACCTTTGTTTGAATGACGACGTACTCACAAATCTTGTACCCAATAAAAAAATATGCCTTATAATCCGGTGCGTCTTATGGTCCGAAAAATACGGTACCTGCATGGCTCAAGGACAGTCGCCAACTTTTTGAGTTTTACCATCACTGATAGAGTTAAAATGACTAGCTTGTGCTTTTGTTTGTCTAAAGCAGCAAAAACAGCCTCTTGATTCTTTAGTAGATGAGAAACTATATCCAGCGTTGACTTCCACCATTTGGAAACATCCCGTATGAGTGACACTTTCTGTTGCCGCAGTCTTGTGTGCTCCTGGTGTAGTTCCTCCATATTAGCAAGGCTTTCTACAATGCATCTAATTTTGCTTGCTTTTCGGTGTCATAAAGCTGTTGAATTTACTTAAAATAGTCTTTTGACATGGAAGTTGGAAAGTTGGATCACCTGACGCTAACTGTAGCACATTTTCTAATCCCCTATCTTCTACCACTGATAGTGTTCTACAGTCCAGAACAGTCCATTTTGCAAGTTGTACCCACCAGCTCGATAGCTAGCCGGGAGCTCGAGGGTCACTAGAGCCGTCGAGAACGGCACATCATTTTCAGATCACCGCGGTCTTTCGCTACTCAGGTAAAACGTAATATATAAGTCACTTAGATTACCTAAAAATGTTACTGTTTGGCTTTTTCAGTGTTTTATTTGTTCGTGAGTAAATCGGTTTGGCTGAGATTAAAGTTATTAGATTAGATTAGATTAAATAAAACTTTATTAATCCCTCGGGTGGGTTCCTCCTTAGTTTTCACACAGCTGAAACGAAGAAAACTGAATAAACAGAAGTGTGA